ATATGGTGGGGATTGAATTTACGACCCGTTGATTATCTGCTACTGTTAGAACAAGCCCGTCAGTAATTATCCCTTTACACTGACATTGCGCACGCACAATGAATGTATGAAATTGAAGAAACGAAATCGTAAACGCACTCTTCTCAAGCGTGTGAGTGTTTAATATGCAGATGAGATGAGTCAGCCGACGTCTGCCTACTTATCTGACACTGACCTCGCTTGATTTCCTTTGTGATTTACTGGCTTAGTGTATTACGCTATTGTTATGATTTCATACTATTTAATTTAATAAGTGGGTGAATTTCACGTCTTCTTATGCAAAGAAATGTAAAGTATAATGTTTGAAAACTTTATTATTGTTTACATGTTATTGCACGCATTTAAAATCGAAAATAAATTGAAAAAAAAAATCGACTCGGGCAGGAATTGAACCGGCATCGACAGCGTTCCAGCCGACAGACAGAGCAACGGTACGGAACGCTGTCGATGCCGGTTTTACCACTAGAGGCGAATGGTCAGGACTCGAACCAGGGCTGCATTAGGTACAATCTTGAATTTATCAATATTGAATTATTCAAGGCAAAGATGAGTTCTCGAATGTATTCACTAATGCGTAAGGTATTAGTACTATCAGACATTGTTTATTTAAATAGGGAAAGTCCGTGTCTCTCAGAAACAATAAATAATGAAATTAATTTAATTTAACCTATAAAGTGCTTTTTTTAAATCTATCTTAAATTTTTATTAGTATCACAATATTGTATTTCGCATACTTATCAAAATATTGTGAAATTTGTCACAATTCTTACTTATCGGCGTATCAATTTGTCAGTGTTATCTCGACATTTCCTAGATATTGATTTCTATCTTGTCTGGTTAGGTAATCCAGTTAGCCTTATTATTTTAACATTTATTCAATATAAAATTACAGAGACAATAGAATTATTAAAAAAGTAAATAGTATGTGTTTTTTATTTTAATATGCTATGCGAGATTATAGTTTGAAAAGAATTATAGTAATATAAAAACAATAATAATTATAAGAAATATACCTACTTCTTAGACAAAACTAAACGACGTCTGGAATTGCTGTCTTTTAAAATAGTAGATAACACTATAAACTAAAACTATACAAAAATAATAAAGTACGTTCAAACTATTAATCAACATGGACTTGGTCATATAGAAGTGAAGCATTCGAATCGATACATCTGTCATATTTGATATTATAAAGAGAATATATATTTTTTGTTTGTAATGGATATAATAAGCAAGTAAGATTATGTAATAAGTTATTCCTTATATAATGAAGAGGTGGCGCCATCTTTCGTACAAGGTTAAAAATTATTCAAATTAATCGAAGCCTCATGGGCAAGTCAGTAAACACGTTCGTACATATTGATAGTTAAATACAAGAAGTAGGTACGTAATTATGTTTGAATAAACCCCTTATCATTCAGTAAAAATGAATTAATTTGAGCGCTTGTCAGCATACTCTGTGGTAGTTTAATATTCAAATGAATAACCAGTATTAGAGCACCTCATTAAAAACTCATTTCTATTGGTTAATTACTTTTTTCTTAAACGAGGTTCTATATGCTTCCTTTAAAGGTTCTAACATCGAGGTAATCTACGGTCCAAGAGACGTGCATTGAGTCTATTTTTAATCGTCTAGTCGCAGGGGCAACGACCATACGATGCAATGGTTGTTAATTTTTTAAAAGTCATTGCCCTTAATGGTGTTACGGTTATGGAATACGGCTTATGGATGGTAGAACTTTGACACGTTACTAGATCAATTCTGATGATGACTTGAATATTATATCTTATCATGATTTGTTATTCTTTTTTTCGTTTGCCCTTCCCCGATTCATTCAGTAGATGTGTTTATTTTTCTAATTAGGTACCTACTACAGACAACATACTGACCAAGTCGTTAAAATGTGCGCGTAATAATGATTTGGATTTATTGCAAAGATTGCTAGTTAATGCTTGCATTTCAATAAATCAACCATAATATAATATATTTTAAAACAATGACATTGTGGTATATCTGCATATAACTAGCGACAAAAGTTAAATAGAATTTAATATCTTTTTTTTTATGTCTTATAACTTCCGGTCAGGAAATCGTATTTACATTGACCAATTGACCATTTAACGATAGACTAGACTGACGTTTATAGCGATTTAAGTATGATATTATGCTGTAAAGCCCAATGTCTTTGTCAGTGATTTCACGAAAAAATTGCCGAAGTTTGTTACCACTAAAGTATAAATATAGTATGTACTAAAATTATAAAATTAATTTATAATTTTAATAGCATATTTGCATTTTACCTCATTTGAATATTTTAAAGTCACATTGAGATAATAAATTTAAGTTCATATGAATTATGATTTTAAAAGAAATTTAAATGTACAAAAAACTTAAGCAGATGCATCTAAGCGACCTATGTTGCTAACTCGTACAACCTGTTGCCAGTATTGCGTTATGGGTCGTGGATTCTAATCGCGGGCATTATGGTAAAGTCTATTTTCCCTTAGGATATATAACATACATAAAAACTTATCTTGTATGCCTGATCTGAGAATCATGGGATTTTACAAACACGTAACGTATATCTTGACTTTACGTGTCTTAATTAAATACAGAAATAAATGACCGTGTTTTATGACTTAGATTTCGAAAACTTTATGTCTTTTTTATTTTTATTTCATTTCAAGATGTAATGATGGCGATACGAAAGGAAAGTGTGCACAATAAGTCCGTGAAAACAAAGGCATCCTTTGCGAGGAGAAAGCTAACCCAAAGGAATATTTCAGTACCACAGAGGCGCCCGTTGAAATCTTTACTACGTGACGTGGTTTGAGAAAATAATTATAATGTTATGCGTGTCCTGGTTTCTATAATTTATCATTATTAAACTTATTATAGTTCTCCTGGCGAACGCTTAGAGAATAATGAGTTGCGCTTACGCTGTAAGGACTAAAATTAGTGAGTCTGTTCATTTACATATTTTTCCCAGTTCCGAGAAACAAAAAATTAAAATTGTGTAATTTAGATGACGGGGTGGTAACCGCCAATTGCCTAACTGAATTTGGGTAAAAACAATGCGACATATAAATTATGAATAACTAGCGGCCCTGTCCCGGCTTTGCACGGGTAGACATAAATAAGTACAAATATTTAAATTATAAGCATGCTAATTAAAACCACAATGAATCACTAAATTAGAAAAAAAATAAAAATTAATCATCAGGTATTGAGACAGTCTTGAATATTAAATTATTTATTTGTATAAAAACGTATAAATGGTATGGATAACACGCTCTGATTTTGGTCGGCATTTCTATTAATTTGTCAAATGTAAAAAAGTAGTTATAGTTACGTAACTACAATAGTTAGACATATGCTCGCGATGTTTTTGTAGATATTGATATATTCTATAATATATTCGAACATTTTTTTGTCCTATCATTAATACTTTTCGCAGCGTAGGCGAAGAAAGACATTTTACGGCTAATTTTTTTACGCCTTCCGTTGGTTTTAGTAAGAATGTCTATAGTAATCGAGTACTAAATATAGCCTATGTTACTTAGTGATAATGTAGCTTTCTAATGAAAAAATAATTATTAAAAAATGGGTCCAGTACTTTTTGAGTTTACCCGTTACATACAAAAAATTACAAATCTTTCCTCTTTATAATATTAGTATAGATGAATATCCCAGAGAATGATTAAAGAATGTTAATACAGGGAATACATTTTCTTATATGTTTATTCGACTGATATTAAAAAGGTGTAACAAACTATGGAATTACACTTAAGTTTTCATAGAAAACATTACATTATTATTACGTTATGTGTATTGGAAATAAAAGATATACATAATTCATGTAAACCTTTTACGGAACACTTTTTATATGTTCCAAAGGCAGTGAGTAACCAGTTACGGTTAAGATAATGTGAACAAAGTACGGACGTTAAACGTTTTTCGGGCATCCGATACGTAACGTATAAGGTTTCGATGTATGGAAGTGCCATAGTTGACGGATTTTTACAGTGAGTAAATTAGAGACCGACTTTTATTTTTTATGATATAAATATTCTTTAAAGAAACCTTATTACTATTTATTTTCTTTCCAAAATTATTTTCAAATTATCCATATGAACTACGAACAAAATACAATCGTTTACCAAAACGTAAACAACCAAGCGCTGCAACAAAATCTACTTAATTTTTCAATAGATTTAGTTGTTTTAGCTTTTTCATAAGTATTTCTATGGCTACAGAGTGCACAATATTATTAGGCAAAGGTAATTTAATCTGTGACCACAAAACACCACTGAAGGTTCTACATACTGTGACCGTATCTCTCGCTCGCACTGTATATGCGTCCCTTACCCACGTGCAGCCGACGTCACTATGAGCCAGCCAGCCGATTGACCGGTATACGCTCAACCTTCAGTTTTTCTTTATTTATAACTCGCTTCCACTGTGTAAGTTATGCTTCGTTTAATACAAGCTAGTTACTGGAAATACACTTAAAAGTCGCTTTAGACGTTTAGAAACAAACTAGTTACGAACGCAACCTCAACAACCATAATTTTTTCATGAATATAACTAATATTCATGAAACATTTATCGATAAAAATGCTTGTAATTGTTCCATACATTCTTATAGACGTGATTACTGTAATGGGTATTATCACAATTTTTGTAATATCTTTTTAAAAACTATATGATAATTATCGTGTTTTTATCTATTTGTCAAAGCTACAATATCCATCTATCAATCTGTGATTAGGCTTATTTTATCGATACCAGCTGACAAGTTGAGTCAGTGTGAACGCAGCACAGTTCGGTTTAATGAACGCCTAGCAATGGCGGCTTCGTGCGGAGCGAGCGAGGGGCACAGTCGGCCCCGAGCTTCACGCGGCGCGCGCGCAACCTACCGCGACATTAGTGAAAGGCCGCATGACTCATAACAGCAGACATGAACGAGTATGCAGAATACGACTGGCGGATGCACCACATGCAGAACGAACGGTTGTGCGATGTGTCCAGGAAGCGCCTCTCGGATGGAGACAGGCAACGCGCCCTCGACGCACTAAAAGAAACAGTGGACTCCAGTTTGAACCTCGCCCTACGCGATAAAAGCAGATGTCAGGACGACAACTTTTTGCGGCGTTTTTTGTACGCGACTAAATACGACGTCCAACAGAGCTTCGAGTTGCTAGTTCGCTATCACCAATACAGGAGGGAGCACCCAGAGTTGTGGGCGCCGGCGGACGGGGGCGTGCTCCGCGCCCTAGCCGACGGCTTACCTGGCGTTCTTGCACAACGCGACCGAAGGGGACGCTGTGTCCTACTTATGTTCGCCTCAAACTGGACTCCCCACGCTTGTCCGCTCGTATCCGTCTTCAGGGCTCTGCTCTTAACGCTGGAACGCACGCTCGTGGAAGTACAAAACCAGGCAAATGGATATGTCATCATCGTCGACTGGACCGAGTTCACATTCAAACAATCGTGTAGTTTACAAGCGAAGACGTTGAAAATGATGATCGACTGCCTGCAAGACTGCATGCCTGTGCGCTTTAAGAGTATACACTTCATCGGGCAACCTTGGTACGTCGAGACCGCGTTGGCCGTCGTGAAACCTTACTTGAAGGCGAAGACGAGAGAGCGGATAGTGCTTCACGGTAACAATTTGTCGACCCTGCACGATTCGTTGCCGCTAGACATACTTCCAGCGGAGTTGGGAGGTGAAGGCCCTTCCTATAACTCGGAGCTTTGGCTGCAGCAGTTCTGTCGCTTCGAGAATATAGACACGCCGCCGGGGCAAGTGTCTACTGCGGTGTCCAAAGACAAGGAAGTGCCGGCCGCTAAAGTGGACAAAGCGTATAAAGCGAAAGACAATGGAAACTTTTCATTTCACGGGAACGAGAAAAGTGCAAAGTCAGAATTACTGCGCGATAAGGATTGATAGTAGCGTAGAACGCCTCGCTGCTTGGTTCCAGTGGACAGTTGTGCAGTCACTGGGGCGTGTCGCCCCATATTGGTGCTACGCGCGTGCCTTTGTGATATGAAGTGTTTTATTTTAATGAGTTTAGACATTAGGACGAGAGCAAACGAGGATATTGTAATGGCTGGCGATCGACACTCTGGCCTTGCTTCACGGTAATTTGAGATGTGAGTCAGTCACGTGGGTGGATAATGAACGGCATCCCCTGTGCAGAAAGTAGACACAGAGTGCATGTAACGGTTCTGAGCTCTCGATATGAACCATCTGACTTACCACCATTGTGCAGATGATTTGCGTGCACTGTATCGCGGTCGTGTCTAGTTTACGTATCTATTTATTTATGCATTAATCCTAGGTTTAAGTGAAAAATCTCATGTTAGCTAACGACGATAAATTAGCATAGTGCTGTTACAATTCTGTGAGGCTTTGCGCATTTATTATGGTTAAGTTTTGTCAAAGTATAAAAAAACACAGTTTTGATTATCTCTTAAATAGTATTGACATTATGGTTCAAGGTTTCTCTTTTAAAGGCGAATATTGTGCAGAATTGTATGCTCTCTTAAATTAAGTTGTTCTTGGCTTTTAAACCGTCCTTTGTTGTCCTTTTCACAGTACTTTTCTTATAAATAGGGCTGTAAGCGGACCCAATTTTATTTCCTATTGTTTGTTATTTTATTGTATACCCAAGATACTCATTGTGATGTCTTATTGATAGTTTTTGACATATTATTGAACCTGACTAATAGCTTTTAATAAATTTTGTATTTAAACATTTTTTTTATTTAGTATTGACCGAAACTAAAGTGTTTGGGTATAAGAATTCAATAAAACACGAAAGTTCCAGAATATACAGAATAGAAATTAAAATAGAATCTACGTTGGTTGCTTCAGTAAGATAATGTTTAAATAAGCATGTATTTAGTAACCCGGATTTGGAGAAGACGAAAATCTTATCAAATGACACTGACAATATTTGTATTTGTAAGCATTTCAAAATTAAAAAATATTTCTCACTTCACTTAAATCACGTACACTCGTATTCAGGTTACTCAAGCGTGATAATTGAAAATCCATTTTTGATACTGGAATATTAGGACAATGAAGTTAATGACACTAATCATTTATCCCACTTAACATTGATACAATGGTACTACTATCAAACACGTTTAGTCATTAGTTAATGGCTTCGTTTTCCTAGGCCTTATGTAACTTACCTTGTAACGTATAAAAGTACCTGAGATAAGAATTATCGCGCTTATCGTATCGATTATACAAAAACTAGATTAGCTGAATAAACATAATATGCATAAAAGGTAATGCCGTGTTCCCTATACAATGCAACCTGACCGACATAGGTATTAACAACAAGATATTTAATAGAGGCAATGACAATCTTGACAGGTTCCAAAAGATTCCCCATTATACATCGCATACCGTATCAAGTAAGGACGTGAGTGACCGCCTGTTCAAAAATTATTAGTATTAATTGTACGTCTTAAAATAATTTAAATTATTTAGGTAGGTGTAGGTACAAAACTATACATAATAACTATATAAATAATTATAACTTTTTTATTCCAATACCCTAATATGACGTATTTAATAGGCCCTGAAAACCTGCGATTCAACGCCATCTTGTGTCTCTGTTGCGCAAACAACATTGACCTGTAATGAAAAAGACAAAAATTTAACTAAGGCCCGACGTTATGGTCTCCACGTAACCACGGCTGCCACAAACTTTGCATCTCGGAATGTAGTTAAAATTATTTTCAAATAAGTTAAAGTAATACATATCGCGAAATAAACCGTTAGAATGTTTTATTTTAATGAAATAGCTTTATTTTTTGGTGTTGTGTTGATTAATTTTTCCATACAACCTAATACATATTTACAAAAGTAACAATGTTTGTTTTAAACGTCGCTGACAGGTATTTTTATTTTGTCACCACATTTATAAGTGATTCTTCAACGGCCTATCATTTGTTTTTGGATAAAGATAGTTCTATCTACTTAGTATTTCAAACATTAGTCATTAGGCCATGATTTGCAAAAATCACAATTTATCAATCCTTATCTAGCTACTACTGCGGTGCATATATTAAAACATGTGACGTTCTTCCATTGTATTACAAATAGTAGATGTTGTGTTTATAATCGCAAATGGCTCCCAGTATGTGCGCTGGTCTAGACAATGGGCAATGGACAGTGAGTGAAGATATTACACGATCTAGTAGGGCTGTCTCCATGTTCTAGTTTGTAATCGGAAGGACACAGTTCCGAGCGGTCATTTGCCTATAAAAGAAAAAAAAACGATCAGTATCCCCATCATATATTATATTCAATACGGCATAGATATATGTATTTACAAGATACGTCAGTCTCTTATGTCACTAACATAGTTTGTAAATTAATATAGGTAGCTTGAAATAGACCTCTTATTAGTCCCAAACCCGCCCAGTACACTTCACTTTATTATGCAAATATTTTACTTTCACTAAATAATATAATACAAATAAAATATAAGTCCATTAAATAGTTTTACATCATCTGTCGTCGTATAAATAAAATTCAAAATGTACACATTGTGACAGCCCTAGGACCTCGTGAGTCACGCGGCGCGTTTCCGTCGCCACTCGCAACGGAAACAGCGTACTGCGTACTCATATTGTCACCTAATATTTTAATCCACGATACAAACGTGTAATGAATCGATTCTGTGTGTAATTCTAGATTGAACGAAAAAATCGACCATATAAGGTTTCGAAATTTGAACCTCAAGTGCAAAGCGAGCATTTTAGTTAGAGTAGGTAAGCCCGCTACTCGATTTATATATTTTTCACTTATTATTATATACCGTATTTCGTCTGAGAAGAAAAATGGATAGGAGTTCTAAGATTCTCTAATAGTTTACATTGGAGTAGGGTAATAAACCTATCTTCTTTCCATATTCACTCTAATATATATACTAATGTAATTTACAAAATTATAAATTTTGATAAAAAACATTCAGTTTATTTTTATGTAAATAAAATTCTTATTACACGTCGCTAAAAGTACGATCAGTTTGTTTGAGCAAGACCACCCATGATTCAATCATACGGCCTTGTAAAAGTAAAACATTATACATATACATTATTTAATGAATAAACAGAGGACGACTAATTGACTTTTCCTCATTTAGATCTTTTTCACGACGATGTAGAATCAATTACAGATGCGTATAGAATGTATAAACCAGTTGCTTAGATGAATGGTTAAATCTCTTGCTTAGCATAGCACGAGAGGTCCTGAATTCCGAAGCTTTCTATATTTACCATACCTAATCAGTAAAGAAAATCGATCAGTAAATAGAAAGTTTTCGCCGAAAATCAAAAAGGCTCCATAAGAGTCAAGATATAAGACAAAGTTACTCTAATTAAATTTAGTAGACAGTAAAAGTTGTTTTGTCTTGAAAATAATAAAATTAGCACTAAGTAGAGACAATAAGTCGCAATTAATTTTATTTTTAGTTTTTTTTTTCAGTTATCTGAAATACTTCCCGAATACAGCCAGTCACCACATCTTAAATTGATTTTATGGGACTGGATATTTCTCCTTCTGTCAAGTGAACTGTAGTCCTTCTCTGACATGAAAAAATGTGTTCCAATTGCTCTCTGTATGTTTCAGTGTATTGATGAAAATTTTATATTTAAAGTTTTTCCTTAAATACATTTGCAGTTAAAATACGCCTATAGTAATGAAAAGTTTGTATGTAAAATGTAAGTCGTTCTAGCGTTATATGAGAGACAATACCATACCGTTGGGTAACGCATTGTGGTTTGTGGAATAATATGATATCAAGCTGATTTCGAAAACACCACAAGATGATCTGATGCTGATATTAAGTTCTCTAATATCAGCTTGCTGTTTGTTTATCTGTGGCTTCGGGAATTTTCCTATTCTGTGCGATAGTTTCCATAGAAAACGTATAAACAACAAAATTACTACATGTCTCAGCAGGTAATACTTAGTTGTTAAAAGACTGTTAGGGATATCGAAATTCATTCCGGGTTAAAAATACCATCCATAGATAAAACGTCGTTAAGTGGTAAATTTACCTTTGTTTCAGTTTTTGAATCTGTACTGTACAGCTAAAATAGGTTAACATCACATCGTCTTTAGCTATTATTTATGAGGGTATCTGTTCGCCTCTATCATGAAAAAGAATACTTTAAGACTTTCGAATATTCATTATTACTGGACATAAATCAATTGTCTTAAAAACAACAAATCCATATAGAGCAGGGTATAGTGACATTTTTAAAAGGAAAACAAGTAAGTAGCAAATAATATTATCAAGTTTGAAATGCAAGTTACGATGTAAAAACAATAAAATTTTAAGAACTTACCATACGGTTCAAACTTCAAGGCGCTAACGTGACAGTCGCTTGCGCACGTTTTCGTCGAATTTAACGAACAATAAAAACACGTTTCGATTTTATGGCGGCCTGCATTCTGTATCAGCTGCTCTTTATAAGGAAAGTCTATATTGTTTGAAATTATGTCCCTTAATCTTTACTTGACTATCGTTACATCTAGGAATACTAATAGTGTAAAGCTAAATACTTTGTTTGTTCGTACGCCATAATCTCAGGAGCTACAGGTACGAATTGAAAAATTCGTTTTGTTTTGGATAGAACATTTATCGAGAAAGGCTTAACATCACACTGCGATTAATTGGAGTGAAGAAAAAGAGGGAAATGTCTAAGAAAATATCCTCGTCCATATATACCTACCTTTAAAGATTAACATGTGAGAACGAGGGGATGCGGACGACGTCATACGTAATAGCTATAATTTATAAAGATTAGGAGGTTCGCAAAACCTAATTTTTATGTCCAAAATAACTACACTACGCGGATGAAGTCGCGGGCACAGCTAGTTATATTAGAATATAGAGCTAGCTAGTTATTATACTATATAGAGCTTAGCCTTGATAGGGGCCTATTATAGCGCGTCTAAATACAACGTGCTAAAATACGGGTTGGCAGATGATATTTTTTGTATCCTAATCATGTAAATTGTTGTCCTGGGAAATTATGACAATTTGTATTAATTACACCTCGAACTTTTTTACTTTTAGTTATATGTAGATCGTAGTAACTTATATTTTTTTATTTCATACATAAGACACTCATGACGTCATTATTTGCAAATAAAATTAGGTTTTAAAGACACAAAGCCAACATCTTATGTAAATATTATTATATGTTATCGCGACGTCTTTTACGAAGTGCCCGGCGATAATATTCAAGATATTTCAGCTTGACATACTTGTTGATCTTGGATAATCTTTAGAGATAAGAGTCATAACGTTCCTGCTAATATATCTTTTGTTCAAACACTTCCGCTATCCATTTAAAAAGACGGCGATAAGATTATTGTGGACTTTTACAAGTGTGCGTCTGATTCACTAGATAGTATTTTTAAGGGATTTACCTTAATTTAAAAGATATAATATTTTTCATATAAACGAGGAGAGATGAAACCAGATGCAAATGCAAAAAAAACTAGCTCACGCTACAAAGAAAGGAAATTCTATCTATAATTTAAGTTTTTTATAAAATAGCTGATCTGGCAAACATTTTTTTGATCTATGAAGTATTTCGACAAATATTTTATGTCCGTAAAAACGGTTCTTGTTAGTCAATCTTAAGAGATAGACATATATAGTCGCTGGCGTTTTTTCGTCCCTTTATGTCTCTGTCAGATATTTTAAAAGCCTTTCCCCTTAAATGGTCCGAATAACACAAAAAGATTTTTGCAATTAAATTAAGTAGTTTCTGAGATTAGCGCGATCATTCAAGTAGACAAAGAAACAGTTCCGCTTAATAATATTACTATAGATAAGACTGGTTATATATATAACCTTTACTCTATAATTGCTTAGCTAAACAAAAAGTTTATTAAAAAGAAAATGAACTTCGATGGAGACAAGGTTAAAATACTACTTTCCTTATATGCATAGTGGGTAATAACCTATGTAATAACATACATTCCATTTAAAATCTCGATTACTTTTTAACGTCAACCGGTTTAGAGGTAACATTGTATATAGTTTGTTATCATATCCAATCACGTTAGCATACGACTGTAAACTTTGCTGTCAGTTACTAGCAGCTGGACCTTACCAATATATTATTCTCTTATTATTCTCTTTTCTTTTTTTTTTTTTCTTCTAGGGGCAGTGGTTTTCAAACATGCAATTAGTGCTCAAAATGAAAATGAAATGTGTTTGTACTTTGATTAAAGCAATTAAATAAAAAAATATTAACCGAGCGATTAACGATAATATACATACATCCTTCGCTTTTGTGAAAAAATTTGGTGATTCACAATTTTATAGCTACGATCAAACAAAATTCTCGTGAAATGTGTGGAATTTTATTTATCACTTTCAATATATATGTATATCCGAATTCCTCAGAGCTGTCACCAAGTAAAACAGCAGGGACACAGTGTGACATTAACATTAAAAGACCATCATTTGGGTGTTTTATTATTGTTGAAACTCGAATACCTAAATAAAAGTACGAAGGATCCCTGCTCAACGTATTATATTGTGGATTATCCATGTCAATATGGTTTATATAACATTACAATTTCTATAAATGCATTAAGAGGTAAACATTATAAATGATAACAATCACTCATCTGTTCAATCTCTTCAACAAGACGAATCAGAGTGGAGAATTAAGGCCAATTAAAATTCCAATAAATCTGTATTTTAATGGCACTTGTAATACCAGTTTGGGAGCCGCTGGTCTGCACGGTAAATAGTGACAAACTGGGCAGGTGGCCGCAAATGACTTGAAAACAAACTGCAAGTCCTCTGCTTACGCGGAAGTTTATTATGTACCTAATTATATTGAGAGAAATATGAAAAGGTTTGACTACTGTGAAAATAGTATGTAAACACTTATTTACTAATTTATTTTTGTGTCTCGTTCATTGCTCGACGGCCGACCACGAGTTAAATCATTGAGCCAGGGAATAAAATTAACAGTTTTTAATTTAAAGGATATTTTTTAAATAAAATGAATTACAGTACAATACGAACTTTTCTGCCATCATTTAACTTCTTCAAATTTCTAAGAAAACGACTATTTAAAAGAGTTGGAAACAAATACTCTTTATTCAACTTTTAATCTATTTACACAAAAACTTATCCAAGTTTCACTTCTCTGCGATCATCGATTTAGTTTGAAATTGAAATCTCATTTAAATAAAACACTTTAACGATTTAAAACGCGATATATTAGTTAAACTTATTTGACAATGATTTTTAACTGCGGCCCGACGTTTCGGATGCTTTGAAACAGCCGTGGTCACGGGATGACAGAATGATTTTCAAATAAGTTTAACTAATATACCACGTTTTAAACCGTTAAAGTGTTTTATTTAAATGTGTACTATTCGCGTAAATTATAGAAATTAATTGATTTTTCAGTCAATCATTTAGTCATCCAAAGGCAAAATTTATACAAAGGATATTTCCAGACGGTTGTGTGAAAGTAGTAGTGAGTAAGTAATAAAGCTTGTATTAAAATCGTAATTGGTATGATCTTGTTTATATCTTATTAATAAAGACATACAATATTGCATAATCACCGCATATTTAATACAGAATTACATAGCGGCACCCAGAATGTACCGTTAGTTAATTACAGGAGCTTGACGTACGACTGCTCGTCATTTGTTTGCTGTCTGTACGCTAAGCTGATAGGTAATTCAGTTTTCTTTGGGATAAGCTTGATATAGTATGTCTCTGTAATGAAATAGTAACCTAAAAGTCGCGACGTAAGAGTTTGACTGACAAACGAAGTATCCTGATGTACTCAGCGTGTACCTACCTGATCTTATTTAAACTTAATTGTATGGTCGTACCTATTTATATTAAGAACATGTTACAAGAATAAGGTTACTTAAAATAAAATCCCCTTTATAATGGTATAAATACGTAAATTCTTCATAACTTAAACAAAGAATTTTAGTCGGTTTAAATTTCTTTAAATTTAATAAGCAAAACATATTATAATTATGGCATTAACTACTTCTAGGTACTTGAAATGTTTTTTCGTAAGGATTTCTGTTATGCGCGTGCACATAAATGACACATAAATCCGGAGTAGTACAATGCGGTGTCATTATAAAAAATGCACGCAGCGTAAACCAGTGATATGATCTACGCTTAGCAATTGTTAATAATATGTCCTTTGTTTAAAGTACATGTACAACAGAATATTTTGTAAAACATTGATTTAATGTTCATAAACTATTAATCCTCTCTGTTGAACAAGTTTTCGAAGCAATTATCATTTATAATATATAGTACATATTATATAACATTGATAAATATGTGACTTTCAAACAAAAACGTAAAAACGATACAAATAAATCGAGAACAACAAAACGAGTGTATACAACTTAATTGTACAAAATAAATTAATTAAAGCTATTTTGAATATTATATTAAAGTGTGAACTTTGCTACTAAGATTTTATTTTTATAATCGGTGTTAATATCTACTACAGAAAAAATTACTTTAAAACTAGAAGGAAACTTAAAACTTTTCAGAAGTGTAAAATCTTCTTCTTCTTAATTTGATGGTTTTTTCTTATTTGAATGGGTTTTCCAATGCCGTGTGATAAGAGGAATGACAAGGCGTGATAGAATAAATTTTATTTTTTTAATGGTATAAAGAAAAATTATCATTAAAGAGAATGTACATATAAAAAAATGTTGTAAATACTTCTTCATCACTTTATAATTTGTATTTTTTTTTTGGCAAATAGCAAATTTCTGGTAACACAGGAATTGTCATTGTGACAGTGACACCGACATACTGTATCTGTCAATGTTTGCAGTCAATCGTACGTCACTGAAGCTATCGCTGTTATCTTATCTATGCAACACTTATTATTCTGTGTTTGTTACCCCACACTACTGTTCCCAGCTGACAGGCAATAGACAGTTTACTTTGAAAACAAAATTCTTTACAGTTGATTCATATTTAATGGGTTCACGAACCAGCAAAATTATTAGTAACCCAGCAATGGCAGCAGAAATTCAACAATTTATTAAAGAAGCTGTAGCTCAGGATAAAGTTGTGATATTTTCGAAATCTTATTGTCCGTATTGTACTTTAGCGAAAGATGTAAGTCGTGTTAATAAAAACAATTTTTTTCATGTATAAATTTTAGCAAACTAGTTGCAGTGTTAAGTAATTAGTCATTGCATTGTATTGTTTTAAGTAATTGTTAATTATCTTTAAACTAATTTACAGGTTTTCAGTAAAGTGAAGCAGCCTTTTAAAGTATATGAGCTTAACGAGCGGGAGGATGGAGACGCCATTCAGAACAATTTGTATCAAATCACTGGAGTTAGAACGGTAAATATAGAACTTTATTACAGAAGAATAATTTCAAATTTATTTTCAAGATCCTAAAATGTGTTTACAATTTAGTTATAGTCACTTAAGTTCTTTAAAGTATTCTTTTGTTATTTCACCAAACAACAACAAATATCATTTAAAAAAAAGTATAATAATCTGAAAGAAAAACCTACATGTAATATTGGACTGTTTTTAATATTCTAATGTTAAAGCTGTTGCTTAGTTTAAGCCTAGAAGAAGTTAACAGATGTCTCATTAGTTACTTCTTGTTGTCAAATATCACCTTTGAAACCAACAAAGAAATTTGTCTATACCCCACCTATGTGGATAGGTATTTACTATATACAAAATCTCGTAATTTCCTTACACATAATAAATAAAGAGTAAGATTTGAGGCCTACTATAAGGAAGCTGATTACCACCTGCATTCTTAAATTTTTATCTATACTCATATAGTAAATGGATTTTATCTATGATAATAATTTAAATAAGATAACTCCGTTGTCAGTTATTCTACTTTCGCAAACTGAAAGTCACTGAATCCATACTATATGTTGTTCTTATCAAAAACATTTAATCAAAGTAACTGATTACAAACTAAAATCATTGTTTTTTGAAGAATTAATAGATTAGTATTAATGGGGCATTGTCCCTGCAAGTTAAGTAATAAATAAGGATAAGTAATGGTGAGGTAGTGTGTAATCTTATTTGGGGCATGGGACATTCAGAGTCCAGTCTAAGAGGGAAGCGATTCAATGAAATTAATAAATATATATAAATGTTCATACTAGAGGAATTCAACAAGGGGTCGTATTTTGAATATATATTTAAAAACATATAAAATGGTTGTATTTGGTAGTATATTGATAATGTGGTCATTATTTTGGGCAAATGTCAACCACATTCATTGTGATAATAGATTAATTTGAAACGTAATTACTGGAAGTTGTAGGGTCTTAGTTTATTTATTTTAATGTATTTGTAATATTTAATTATTCTAAAACTAGTGCTAGGCCAATCAATTACTGAACTAATGATTCAATCAACTAAATTAACATAAGCAGTATGCTTGTCTAATGTGTGTTCAAAACGTAATTTAAAACAATTCAAAGTTTTTTAATGATATTTAAGAATCAGTTAAGTAACCTGCCTTGTATTTAAGCATATTTAATATAAGATTATGTCTTTAACTAAATTCTTTATTGTTCATTTGTGACTGCATTTTAGATTAAACCATTTTGTTTCAATAAAGAAAGTATTTTTATCTTTGTTTGTTTCAGGTACCGCAAGTGTTTATAAATGGCAACTGCGTTGGAGGTGGATCCGATGTAGATAAATTGTATAAAACTGGCAAGTTGGAGCCTATGCTGATAGGATAAATACTTTCAAAGATTTACTTATATTATTATAATGGATGGTATTTGAATATAAATGTTTAAAATCGCAAATTAATGAACTCTGGCAGGAATAGACACAGCAGCTTATAATACTTTATTGCTTTTGATCGTCTAAATACTTTAGTCTTAGAAACTTACAAACATGCTTAAAGTATTTTTTTTATATAACAAAATGAAAGAAACTTTTCATAAACACAAAAGACTTCATGCGAAATAATATTATATCATTATAATAATATATTAATATATTTGGTGATATGGTTAAAATTAAAAATAGGTAATTCTTAAAAGTACATAAAATGTTTGACATTTTTTTTATTCATTGCTCAGAGCGAATATGTTAATTTTATTTAACACACAGTACAATTACATTAATCTCATTTTATTAAATCTCGCGATTAAAGATTATTATATGTTGTTGGTTTTGTATAAATTTTATTTAATTAATAAACAGTGAGCGCAATGTGGCCGTGTTTTATTTTAAGTTATTGCTACAAAATAAATAGCAAAAGAACATGAAATTAAATACTTTTGTTTATTTCTTATTGTACAAGAAGAATATATTTATTGGAAATTCGGATTTTCATGTTATGTTAAAAGTAAAATAATACTGTTTTACATGACGCTAATTGTGGAAAATTTCCACGTGTAAACTCTACCTCGTAAAGAACATGATTCATCACTTGACTTATAATTTAACAATGTTTCTACAATAATATTTGTGATGATTGTACTAAACAAAATAAAACTAATATTTATGTCATGATACCTTAATGATTAATAACGACGATGACGTTGGATACATGACCTTAAATTTATTCGATTCTAGAAGTCTTTGTGATAATTTCGTATTGGGAAATCATGTATTTTACGGGTTGGTATTCATTGTCTTTAACTCACGAGACTATTCAAACAATTATAACTATTGCGACATTACAATAACAATAATTATATTTTATCTATCATGTTAAAATTTATTTTTAACAGACCACATTTGCGGTAATAGTCAAACAGTCACGTAAACGACGAACAAATTCTAACAATTTATTATACATTTTAAGCAAATTAGTTACTTCAGAACGTTTATTTAAGACTATTAGCTCAGGATAAAAGTGCTCGAAACATGAAAGGTGAATAATATGTACGGTTATAATTATGTTAATTACGCTAAGTCCGCTACAACGGCCCTCGACGCGAGAGCTAAAATCGCGCCGAATTAATTCTAGAGATTCGCTCATAAATCCTTCAGATGGAGCCACCGGCCCCCTCCCTAAACGCTTTATTACGCGCACCGGATGAAAACATCAGGTCCACTCAAGGCCGCTACGCGCAGCCTCGCACCGATCACATTTCTACAGAGATAGACATTTTTCTGTGTTTCTATTTAAGACCCTGATTGTAACCATAGAGCGATTAACCTTTTCGGTTTTTTCATCTGTGGACGGTGACCCGGACGAAATTTCAGTATTCATACCACCAATACAAATTGGTGGTAAGATATAAACAGACAGACGTCGTCTAGATATTCTGGATTTATATCCAAAGAAAATACAACAGCAGACTTACCTTTTCAATTATTTTTTCTAAATACATATCTATTTTATATTGATCTGTTGGTGTACATATTGTCGATGTATTCTATTTATGAATATGCCATATAATCATAACAACATATTAAATTAATTAAATTGTGCATTAGTAAATTACTATGTAGTATGTATATTGTTAAATTACAGTTACTTCAATAGCACGAGTAGTAGTTAAGAATTAGTATCTGCCCCTATCTACTATTGTAGTCATAGAAGGAATTACTTAATACATCTTCAGAGTCTTGGCTTTTGAAAAAAATTGACCTTTCAAAGTTTAAGGTTCTCTATTTTCCGTGAACATATGTAAATGCAGTTATTGTTTTACTATTGGAATATAGTATTAAATTATTTGTTTTGTGCATTTACGTAATATTAAAGTAAAGCACTTCATTATTTTCTAAATAGTCTCTGTACTGTGTTGCTCTGCGGTGAGGGACAAAAACACGCAACGTAACATCCAACCTACTAATATTATATCCTATGCCATTGATGAAAGCGTCGTTTTTGCGTAACGCAATATATTTGAAGTTGGCGGGCGTACGCGTGCGAGCGGGATGAAAAATTCGCAGCCCCTTGCGGAATTTCCTTTCCTTTCCCTCGTTTCCCGCTAGTTGGCGCTGGCGCTCCCGCCTCCGCACATGTTTTAATGCCTTGTTTTTTGTTTGGGAATATGTAAACAAACAGTTTTTGTGTATAAAAATAGAATCCTAAACGCTCTCTGAAGATGTGTGTACACTGTGACGTATTTACTTTGTAAAGGTCGTGCTAGATGTGTCTTCCTTTGATCAGAGTGGGAGAAGCGTAAGGTGAGTGCGAATTTTCGTAATTATATCTAAGTATATGTGTTCTTAGACGCTCGTTCAGATAGGTGCCGCTCGTAAACGAAATAATGCGTTTTGTGTGCTTTGTTTGATAGGAAAATGACGCACAATGATAACAAAAATATAATTACTGTTAAAAAAAAAGAGCAATATGATTACATATTTATCAACCACAAAACCACAGCGATAACTATGTGTTATATTTTAAAAACAGTATCAGTAAAAGAAAGAGTAAACATTCTGGATCTATATATACCCTATATTCTTTTAATTGACACCTAATAAGTTTATTTGTGTCTGTCACTCTTTTAAACTATAATTGAATGTATAGTGTATACTTCTATCGCCCATTGGGTGCAATTCTCTAGCAAGGCTTTTGTCTTTAGTTCTATATATATATCTAATATTTTTAGCCTTTCATTGGTGGAAATATTATATTACCTAGTTGAGAACTGGCTTTCTGGTCTTGTGCGGCAAGGTATTATTGAAACCCTGCAAATGTCATCGAACTTAACCACAGTAGTTCAGGTTACACATAAACTCATTACACAGGTCTAAAATCCAATAGTTTTATCGGAATTAATAGGATAAGTAGCGCTCCGTTAGTCAAGTGGTATGTGCTAGACTTATGTTCTCAATGTTCGATTTGCGGTCAAGCACCAAATGTTCTTGCATTCTCCTGTCAAAGACATCGTAAGAAAAAACGGGAGCTCCTGAAATTTTTAATATCATCTCTGTCACAATACCTATGCGTCTGTATGATTTCTACAAGTAGTGTTCGTTACACTTTATAAACAAGTTTTATGATGTCATTTTAGTTAAGATTATTCAAACTAATAGTTAGATAAGATTGTATTTCAAACGTCTTATCTGTACAGTTAATTATTTTAAAGTTATTCACACTTTTAACGACTAAAAATGTTTCGGATGCTTTCTATATAGTAGGCAAAAACGTCGAACTGTCTTTAAAATAAATTAAAAATAACTTAACTAATATTTCATGTTTTAAACCGTTAAGTGATTTATTTAAATGTGTACTACTTGCGTTAACTACAGAATACTTAAATTATCTTTTAAGTAATAATAAAAATATTTTAAAATCTTAAACACTCCGTGTAAAATGTTAGAACGGATATAAGGGTCGCTTGAGCTATCCAGTGTCTAGTAGATCCCGCCTCTTCTGTATAACGAGAGATTGAGCCTGAATGTGAGGTTTGGGAAGGCTTATTGAGAGTGTAGTACTAGCGCAATATAAGGCGGGCGCCCGGCGGACGGCAGTCATAGCGCCCTCGGCGTCGTAGGCGGCAGCGTAGCGCCCAACCTCGCGAGACCGCTACGAAACTTGCTACGAAGTTGCATTTTGTAGCTGTTTTAAATCGAATTTTACGTGAAAGCATATTATTGGGTAAGGATGTTTTCACTTAAAAACAATACTATATAATTATACATTTATTCACTGTGGTTATCCTTATTTTGTAACAACAATAACTCCTTTTTACGACACTTTATTTTTAGTGTGTTTTTAAGACGCAAAATTATTTATAGTTTTAAAGGGCGCCATAGTTTGTACTAAATTTATTTGTAAAATATGTATATTAATTACGACAGGACGTTTGGGACTTACGGCAACCACCATCACGAAAAATGTCTCGTTGCCAAATATTGATAGTACTGTTTAACGCTTCGCAACTGGTTGAAATAATATATAGGTATATTGTAGGTTTCCAGTAGGTAAATTTTTACCTCTGAGAGATAACTATAAAGATATAAATACTTTTATAGTGTCCTTAAAATATTCATGAAATTTTTATAAATTCTATGATAGTCTGTAGATCATAGTAGCTACGTAGTTGGCGATAAATATCAAAGTTCTATGCTCAAGCAGAAAAACAATATGTATTCATGAAAGTCCATTTTTCATATAAATGACGCTGGAGACGAGATGAGATTCCATAGTTCCACGAACAATAGAAAGCTAATTTTTCTTTTCTACCTCATTTTCATATATCGCGTAATATATTCGCCAGATTTCATATAAAGCGTTTTATACGTCCCGTTCTTCTAAAAAGAAAAAGACTTGTCAACAAAGTTCGGTCCCCGCTCTCCGCTTGAGAGCTTATTTGTGTACATTAATGAAGGTGAATTAGGGAAGTTATTCTATCGCGATTACATTCTTCGTGTGTGTTTTGAAATTTCGTAGAGTCAATTTCAAGTTTTCGTGTTTTTCTTTTCTTACGAAAATTTATACGACATTCTACAGCTTCTTTGAATGTATTTTTATGTTTTGTGTAATGGTACAAGAAAAATAATTATTAAAATATATATTAAAATCGCTGAGACACAATGGTATGATTATAACAGCTGTAGGATTATAACAAATAATCTGTGTTACTATTGATACACAATATTATTTCTTATTATCATTAATAAAATCGCAATAAGTAAGTAATTGAAAAAATAAAATTGTCCTTTCTATGTATAGGCTCTTTTAACTGTAAATATGCATATTTTGATTTTATTTTCCGTTATCATATAACATATCTAAGGTTAGAGAAAATGTGTAGATAACCTAGAAATAAACACCAAATGGCTACAACACTCAAAACTCCACTACCCAAATATTACTACTAGACATGTAATTTCGCACTCAATACATAAAACAAAAAGGTCGGAAGTGAAGTCAGCCAGCCGTACAACCTGTATAATTTATTGTAAGTTCGGCAAAATTTTCCGCCAAGTTTCCTTATTGTTACAATATTGGATGTTATTGATTTATATTCGAGAAATTCCACCCACTAAAGATATCGGCGTGATAAACTCGATTACTTTCAAATGTTTTTTAAAGATTGATATAACTTGTTTCAACTTTGCAATAAAAACGAATTAATCAACAATTTAAGAATTTTGTTCAGTTTGGACCCTAAAAACATGGCTTGGGTGAATAAGTTAACATTTTTATAGACTTAAATAATAATCTAAATGATGTAATTAATCAATCTGTGACATTTCCAGTAGGAGTAGCCGTTCTGGTGACAAAAATGCGTCAAGCCTTTAATCTTTATGTGTACATCTGTCAATAGATTGCCAGTAAAGAAACGGAAATTCTCGCGCAACAAAAATTCGAAAAAATGTTTTATCTATTTTTAAATGAAACACTAAAACGGTTTTAAACGCATTATATATTACTTAAACTTATTTAGAAATTATTTTAATTACTTTCATGATTCATCTATACGCCTTCGGTAGAATGGTAGTATAGGGCTTATTATTATCTTAGGAGGTCCTAGTCCCAACAATGGGAATGTTGTCAAACGACTAAGGAAGACACACTACAACTCTTTGTATTTGTTTAAACTTAGGTACTTCTTTTAACATTATAGGTATTATTCACAAAGCTTGCACTAATTCAGAATCAGGTAGCACAAAGTTAAACAAGTGCAAACTTTTGATGGAAAAATATATTAATTAAGCCACGAACATGTCGGCAAGCGGCTCATCAAAAATGTATAGAATTCCTATAATTTGCATAAAATTCATTTTATTGCTTCGAAAGACAAACAGAATGGTATATTAGCTGGTGGAATGGTTTCAGTAATGCGGTGCGAGGTATCTAATCTAAACAACTTTACTTTATGGGTAACTTTTTGAATTTGCACCAAGTTAAAGATTTAGTTATGAGACTTCTTCCTTTTCTTCTTATTTAATAAATGTTACAAAACACTCAATGTACATGTAAGTTTGGAACACGAAATATTCTTGTTAATTTATTTTACACGACGACCCGACATTGGCATGGAATATTCCATAGAATATCGGGTCATAGTTAAAAGTAAAATAACTTATATATTTAGTTATCCCTAAACCGTTCAATATATTTAAAATTATTTTATTATTTCTTATTACAATTAAGAGTAAAATAGTGTTTGATTGATTACGTTTTGCGTATCCAAAAGATTTTTATGTATCTCATAAGGCAACCGGCGTCTATTAAGCAGAAAAGTTATTTAGAACACAAGTTTATTAAACAACAGTAATGATTTGTTTGTCTCTCAACAGTTAGACAAAGCGCTTTATGTTGAAAAGAATGAGTCCACAATAATTATGTCGAGTAAGTCTGCGCATTCGTTAGCTTTCATTAAATATTCAACAGCCATCAGCCTCACTACAAGTTTCGATCGTGTCTTAAATACACTTCTCGCCGTTTGCAAAATATTTATTATTATTCAGGGACAACATTTTAGACTTGTTTGAATGCATCATAAAGATGCGGGTTGCGCGCTCTGTATTTGATGAAGAGCTTTGTTTTATCTGTAACGATGTTTAATCTGCCCTATCTGTCAAATACCACACCATCCATTGCGTATAGTCTCTGCGCAAAGCGTATTCGTTACTGAGTAATAAGTATTCGTTACGCTTGAGTTATTTGAGTAACAAATCATCAGTAATAATTGCAATCTAGTTTAATTACTATTAGTAAAAAAAAACTATATAAAAAATTGCGGTTGGCCAGTTAGGAGAATTTTTTTGTGGTATTTATTATTTGTTAATACTATTTAATTCGGCTTAATTTGTTTATCGTATTATTTTGTTTGCCTATGAATTAGTCACGATATATTGTAAAGTGTAGGTATGTAAATATAAATAATTACATAATATGTTATGAAAAAACTCGCCACAGATAACACAATAATAGTTAAATGAAAATAATTTATACCGCACTCACAAAGCAGATAAAAAAACTATAGCAGAAAAATCATGCTTATTATCGGATGTATTTTCAGAGACAGAGCTTTTGTTGCACCTTAGAGTCGATCGGCTCGTTGGTCTATTATTTGGTTGTTGATTCTGTCCTATGTATGGCTAATAATCGTGGGTCCGATCCCCACCGAGAAATGTTAAGTTTTCTAAAACTTGTTGTACTTTGTCTAGAAATCTAGATATTAAATAGGTGGTAGGAATATCAATATCTCGCCCGGGTTACGAACCACCGACCACACATAAAAAACCGTTAAGCTTCACGCCTTCGGTTTCTGTCTATGTTCTTCCTAATGTCCAAACTCAAAATGGGTCTACGGAGGATTTTGTTGAGATGATAATTATACTCGTTATAACTGGGATTGGCATGTCACCGTCCATCAAGTGAACCCCGACCTTGGATGTCCTCTTTTATCATTAAAAAAATAGGCACGAATCTTTTAATGACGCCCCACGCTTGAGAACGATTCAGCGTTGTTCACGATTAATAAATAATAGAAGAACAATTATTTTTTTTACAGTTATATCTGTGATTATAGTAGGTTATGTAAAATGACGACAATGTAATTTAACCCCAGCGGCATACTGCGCCTGGTTTTAATCAACATTCCTTTTGTTTCAGATGCTCAATCGGACGTTTAAAAATCGCACCATAAAAATAAGTTAGCGCGGACAATTCGACGAAAGTACAAAATTCGAACTTATTTTGCTTCTAACTGTAATCTAAATGTGTGTTATTTACGATGTGTTAGTTTTATCCGGGTAGACAATGCTAGAGGAATGCACGTAAGATATCTCGGGGTAGTCTGGGGGTGTTCGGGGCAGGATGTGTGATGATAAGGAGGAGGTGAGGAGTGATGGGGAGCGGGCGGTCACTCCGAAACGGCTGTGTTGGCCGAAGCGCCCGCCAGCACCGCTGCCAGACACGAGGGGCCTCTGTTGCGCGAAACTTTTAAGGAAAAATGGAAAGGCGAAAAAGGTGAGGCCATACATTATTAATGTTGTTCTGATACCTGCATTGTTTTAGAAACATGAGTATTTACATCTATATTTGCTTTTGCAATGGCTACCGAGTTAATTTCTTCACCGTTAGTTTATTATGTAAGCTTTATTGATAGTTATTCTTGCAAGTCAAACTACAAGACAGCCGTTGCTATAACATTGAAATGAAGTATAATCAATTTAGATAAGAGAATAGTTTTAGATTTATTTAACACCTTGTAACTTTCAATTAATTAACTTAAGAGTCATATTTCTATCAAACACTATCGCCCACGACCTCTTCAGCGTTATAAAGAGAATTATGGCAGTACAATCTTTATTTACAAAAAAAAACAATCTAAATTATAAATGCATTTTCCGATCACTTATTACACTCTACAGCTCTTACAGACGATAGATTTTCGATTTTACGTTTTCCCGCAGCGGATAAAAATTATTCACCGCCTGTAACGTTTTTCATTTCTAGTACGACATTTATGTTTTACATAGAAAGTTTTTTTTCTACTCGGCCAGTCTGTCTTTATCACCGACATCCGATTATATTAGTAATTTTAAATTATTTAAAATACGTGTTACTATGAGTTTTTGGTATATTTGACCTCTTCAACACGGATAACGTGTCAAAACATTTGAACACTGTATATATCAGAGATAATACCATTTACGATTCGATGGAGCGGAACAACCTATCCAGCTAAGATCCCATATTTCAAGGTAGAGCGCGCTTAAGCCTTATAATCAAAGTTTGCCGAATTTCGGTCACGGTGGCTGACTAACAGTGACTACAGGGTTGTACTGGAGCCAGATTCGAAGATACTTACTCCAACTAGTTACAATTGATGTGGCGACTGGTGTATGTGAATTTCTAAAACAAAACACAACAAATGACATCATTTACTTTGATTTCTTAACTTTCATATAATATTTTACGGAACTTAAAGAACGATAGATAAACATAAAATATATTTAGATATATTTAGACGCGTGTTGATCCAATGGTAGCAATGTATGGCTAATAATCGTGGTTGTGGTGGTGGTTGATGGTCGTGTGTTCCATCCCCACCTTTTTCTGGAGCATGCTGGTCTTCGTCTGGATATCTGTATATTTAATTGTTGGTTGGAATATAGAAATTTCGTGCAGGTCACGAACTACCATATACAGATGGAAAAGCAGTGAAGCTTTCGCGTTAATTTCCGAATATCCAAAGCTGAAATAGGTCGACATCGCATCTTGTTTGGATGCTATAGACCTGGGTATATCACCCACCATCGAGTAAACTCCATGCCATGTCATTCCTTCTCTATCGTTAAAAAAAACTTTGATTGAGTTCAACAATAGATAATCATCGTCATCTAGCCTATTCCAAGTTTTCGTCTCAGATACAATATTATGTATATTCCGTTAATAACTCCAGCAAATAACTTGTCCGACGAGAGAACTTTAGATCAAATTAGATTCCGCTGACATCGTACTTCTTCGAGTTTGATTAACCTCCCCGAGGCAAACAAGTGAACAAGAAACAATAAGCCCTGGCGGAATGAGTTGGGCATGAAACGAGCCCATTTTGTGCCCGTTGCTATTCTTCGAAACTTGACAAACGGCCAGAAACAATAGCTTTTCAAATATATTTTTAATTACATTTTTATCCATTCGTTTACAATTATATTAAACAGTATTGTTATTGTATATTTCAATGTTATAAGTACGTATTTAAGCTTTTTAGGTTAATTTGGTAGTTAGGAACTTGAATATTCTTTTGTATTAAAGGTCTAATTTGTTGAAAACTTCGCTAAGCTCAACAAGTTCAACTATTCAAACATTTCGCTAAAATTGTTGTTAATTATAAATTATTGATTATCCTCATATTCTAAAAGTCGGAAAAATATAATATATGTGTACAGAATTGTTAATTTTATAAATACCAATATTAAAATAAAATCATGTTTGTGTTAGGAAAGATTATTTAAAACTTGTAGTTAAGTAGAATCACACCATTTATTATTATGGCATATTGTAAACCATTGATATATTTTAATTAGCAACAATCGGGAGTCCTGCCAGCAATTTAGTGCTGATTAGAGAGTTGATAATGGGAGTTAATTGTATACCACATTGTAATTATAGCTAAGCTGGGATCAGCTTACGTCGGAACTAATAATATGCTTTACAAGATTTACTACTTAGGATGAAATGGTGTGTTGTAAACTACTAATTTAGTTGTAGTTACATGATTAGTCTCTACGCTTCGAATTCTTGTTTTAACAAGAAACAACATTAATTTTATTAAAATACAACAGATATGGTAAGGGCGCTATGGTTTTTAAAATTAGGCTCATTTAAGTAATTTACATTATAATTTCCTTCCATTTTCCTATACGATATATAAAATATAAGAAGAAATGTATCTTAGAATATAAATATTAAATATATAATAGAATATAATTTTCAACAAAACAATAAACTAAAAAAATATGCAGAAAAGGAATTGGTTTAATAAATATCTTTATTATATCATTTATTTGGAAGCCATAGTAATTTTCTTTATTTTGAATGATAGAATTAAAATCTATTTTTTTTTATTGGGTCTCTAAAAAAACCCCGTTGAATCATTTTGGTATTCGAGAATCTTTAATTAAAACCCGTTTTATTTAGAATGAATGGCTAATCTTTCTTGAACGTTGGTAGCTATTTCAGCGCAAACATTAATTATAAATACATATCCAATCCTCTATTTCGAAGTTTTAGCTATACATAAGGACAGACGTGTTTTCTTTGTGTCAAACGGCAAACGTGAGTGGTCGGTGCTATTTTGCAATTCTAAGGCCGTGAAAGAGATTTCAATTCCACTAATGTATCGAGTGCAACTACATCTTATTCTGAGTATGGTGGGCGATATAAGGAGCTTTACGTTACAGAAATGAAAATTTATAAACATTTTAAAGGCACTATTCCTTACTGTATATGTACTTAAGCTTACGTTTACATAAATACACACAAATAAAATACCTGTAATACTTTTGTGGATTACTTGTAAAACGCCTTTTCCATTGAGTTAGGCGTTAGTTTAGTTCTAGGTTTAAAACCTGGTAAAATACTTTAATCGACCTGTTTCATTTTACTAGTCAGCCTTATACAGATTACAGTTTATATTAATACATTGTTATCAGACGGGCTTCAAAATAATTTAACAAGAAACCTTCAACATTTAAGCCTCTCTGGATGTTAGTTATAAATCATGTAAGGTTTATTTTTAAACCACCTTATACCTGTAATCGGTTACCTGTCACATTTAAAATTTCAAAACTAGAACTTTAAAGATTAACTATTATACCACTTTGTGGTTCCTACTATTTATAATTAAAGAAAACTACATTGTCACAGTCAGTAATTTAACGTGCAGTAATAAAACGTAATGACTCGCGCTACAAGTCGACTTGACTGAAGTGAAAAAAGAAAATAAATAGACACAAAGCTTAACCCAGAAAGACGAAGCAAACTTTGAAAGGTCCCGGAAAATGTAAGAAAATTAACATAATCACAACGTAGCTTCTTCGCATAGGTGTTTACGTTTTATATAATGTAACTTACTAGGAAGATATTTAATACAGATACGATAGTAGGCTGTGAATAAACACATACTTAATCCATAATTTGTTTACACAACAAATTTATTTTGACCATTACATTTTTTTATGGAGGCAAATGTATCCTTGCCGACAAAGACAATAATTAATAATTTATATTTTTACGAATCATTTAACAACAGACTAACTAATTTATCCAAAGTAATGTAGACTAAAAAAAGAAAAATTATAATAACCACTACTTCAACTTCTTTTGTTACACAGGTAAAACAATACCAAATTCTGATACAGACTAAAAACGGTTTCGTCACGGTGCACGCACAGATAACGAACAGATGCAAACTTTTTGTGTAACCTTTTTTGAGATTAAAAAGCTCTCTAAAGAATGAACGTTTCGGTTCCATTCGTGTTTACTTTAAACATTTAAACTTTAATGCATATTTTACAATACATCTGTATTTCAGTCGCTAATATAGAGCAATCTCATGTATTGAATTATAAAGTACATTGAAAGAAGTTAACAAGTATTTATCATGTGTATATAATATTTTTTATAAGAAAAGCAATAAAAAGAAATACATAACAACGCAGAATCTTTAAATTTTCTATTATTAAATTTTCTATATTTTTCGTTTAGTTACGTTGACATTTGTAACCTAGAAATTTTACGCATAATAATTTGAAAGGTATTATTAAGACTTTTCTTTTTGGCTGCTCGGCAGCAAATTGGGAGAGCCCTGATAACGGTCCTCCCCCTCCCCAAAAACTTCTACTACGAAGGTACGCTTGAATCCAATGTTTGAAACTTACCCTAAACAAGTGGTCTGTCCACCCGGTCAGGGTAGGGGATCGTTCAGAATTTTGATACCCGGTTAAGTAGTCACCATTCCAGAACCTTTTTGCCCCAACGGCCGTTGATTCTATAAACGATGCCAAACCTACTGCACTTTACCTGCTGATGTAATGGGCTTTTCTTCTAAGAATGTCTTTATTTCTGATTCCGATCACGCAGGGAAAACCATAGCATATACACGATAAGCTAAAGATAACAAGTAGTCAGTGCACAATGCTCGCTATTACTTTATTAGGTACAATAAATACAGCCCATCCATACAAGAAATAGGATTTTACTAGTAAAAAAAGGTGAAATATAAATTAAAGAAAACGAGGCTCGGAATTCGATGCGATATTTCACTGTAGAATACCTAAGTACACTCATTAGTAGTTGTAAAGTATTCATTAAATATAAGCTCGGTATTTGCAAGGCAGTAAATTGTGGGGGAAACAGTAGCGGTGAAAGCAATAATTTACGCTCCTGAGTGGCGTTTAAACGATTCGTTCACGGCATATCTAAAGCCTCGCCCTGAGGTCTGAACGGTGTTAATACTCCTTGCGTCAACTTCCCA